TTTCCCTATAGATTGCTTCTGTTTTTTTCCTAGACGGCTTACCAATGTAATACAGAAGTATAAATGGGAACGGAGAAACTTGTTTAGTAATTGTAGATTGTCGGAGGGCAACTGGAAACTGTGAGCCAAATACCCCATGGCAAGGATGCCACTTCATAAAGATGTCTTGGCAAAAGGTGGATGGTGAAGGATGTCACCTTGGCATTCTGCATACAAGCCAGCAGCAATGGTATCCTTCTAGAAGTGATTTTTAAATGCCCTTGCTCATGCTGGGCTGAGATGGGAAATTAGTGTATTACCATCAGAGTGGAGCTCTTGTTTGCCGTTCCCTTGTGTCCTTAATCAATTCTAGTTACATCCTGAGGCTTTTACTTGTTTGGTTGGTGTTTTTTTGAACCCTGCTTCCATGTGAAAGGCTGGATTTGTGTATGTGAAATTCCCTGCTGGACTTCGGAGATCAAATCTGCCTGCCTCTGATCAGTGTTTGGGGTGGAAGCGTTCATTTGGCTCACTCCCTACTTTGCTCTGGTGAGTGAGAGGAGGACAGGAGCAGCCATTGAGTCTCTGCGGAGGCTCTGAAACTCCTGACTGCAACACCGTGCTCTGGATTTGGTGTAGGGTACGAACGATCCCGTTGTACAAGTGGAGTTAAGTGCAGGGAGGGGCGAGCAGGGTGGCGGACGGAGGCTCAGCAGAGCTTGCGTTGCTCAGCCAGCTCTGAGATCAGACCTCATCTTGTCCAGTACATATTCCCCACTCAGACTAGCTGTTGTAATTATGTATTTATGGCTCCTCTTGGAAGCAGCTGAAGCTTTTAAATGTGTCTAGCCTCTCTGGTCTCAAAGCAACAATCACTTTCTGCTTATGCTTGGTCCTGCCTTGATGACCATCATGCCTCCTGACATTTGATGTCTCGAGCCTTTACAATCTGTGTTCTGCTGAGCGCGTGATTCGACCTGAGCATGTGGTGTCGGGCGCTGGGAAATGTGTAGGGATGGCTGTAGGGTGCGATCATCCCGGCTTGGCCGAAGCAATCGGATGAATTTACAGCCAGCTGCGTGCTTGTGCGTCAGCAAGGCAGAGGTGGGCTGTTCTGGGCTCTTTGTGGTTAGGTATTGTAATTGTTGCAGTAATGTAATGATCAGCTTAATTACACTTGTGAAAAATCTGCTTAATTGCATATTTACTTTGGGGATTGCCTTTTCCCATAAGCATTCAATATTGACTTTGGCTGGGACAAATTTTCAAGATCTGCTTCCTTCAAGAGATGACTAATACTAGATCACTTAGTGCAGGAAGCTGGTTTTATCTAGTAGCTGTAACTAATAACTTGGAAAGCTCCAGCTTCATTTTGAGCATTTTTCTTCCCAAAAGACAAGCTTTTCTTCCCATCGTGAGACTTTCTTGTTGGATGTAATTCTAGACCCAAGCCTTTTTGGTGAGCTATGCACACACAGAAAATAAATATAAACTGGAAGGAGACTTAATGTTAAGACAACTGATGAATAACTAGTGTATTGAAATGGTAGTCTTTTGTTTGGGTGACTTAATAGCCAAATTAGAGTTCCCACTTGTTGCTTTCTGTGCTGCTCAATGCACTGTACAAATAAATCATCATGTAACTCCTCTCTGTCCAGAAACTATTAGGTACAACAACTCTTCCCTCTTGAGCTAGAGCCAGGCTCCCAACCAAGCTCTCGCCAATGCAGCAGGATGGGAAGCCAGTTTATGATAGCAGCTTCCAAAACAGCCAGGAGTTGAGGTAAAAAAAAACCCCCATAACACTTTAAATGTAATACTACAGGTATTTAAAGAGTAATCCTCTGTCTGTCCAGAAGCAAGGAGAGCCTGACCTCTCCCCGCACCATGCAACTTCTGCATGGACTTTATTCCCTGTGCCCTCAGTGGGCACGTCTGTTTTAGTTTCCTAAGCAGGAGTGAAAATACTCCAAGCACTATTGCTTTAAGGTGTGGGGCAGTTCCCCCTGCTCTTTTGGGGTCATCTCACTTATGTCTAAGTCTGTGTGAAGCTCTCATCCTCAAACTGTTTGAGAAGAAGAAGGGGAGGCTGATGTGTGACAGTGCCCGGAGTCGCTAACAGTACAAGCTTCCCCGAGTGTTGCTGGGGACCTTTGCACGTGTCGGCTGTGTTGGGGGATGCTGCAGTTGGGCAGTGGTTGCAGAGAAGGTGAGAAAGATTATGGGAGACATAACCTGGGTTAGATCCCTTGCCTTTCATTCCCAAGAGAACGGGGTCTCCCGAGGGACAGTTGAGTTGAAGAGTCGTCTTTTTTTGTGTAGAGGAAAAGGTAGTTGAAGCACATGCTTTCCATGGTGGTTTTTAAATGGAGTTGGTGAATCGGGAATTGCGCGTGCTTAGTTACTTTTGATTGTGTTTTTCAATAACTGGTGCTTTTTTTTCCCTTGGAACAAACAGTCTGGAGAGGATTTGAATTCTTCCTGAAAAAATCCAGATCTGTTCATAGTGATCAGTTTTGAAATGGGGAAATCGTGTCTTGGCCCCAAAATTAGGTTTTTAGCTTCATCCTGACTTTTTGTTAACTCTGTCGTTCCTGCTTTTTAAAAAAAAAAAAAGTAATGCTCTGAGCATAAATAGTGTTTTCAGCAAGTTATCCTGGAGTCATCTGGTCTGTTAGTGCCCTGGAAGTTGTACGCTGTTACATGCACAAAATAAGTAACAGATCTTCCTGTTTTCCTATAAATGTGTGGAATTTTCATGAGTTTAAAGCTGGGTTTTAGACTTCAAAAAGCAGTTTTGAAAATACCTGATTCTTTATGGTTGACTAAAATTTAGGGCTCTCTCCCTTCTACCCCTCATTCCACTTCTGAAGCTGTCATAAATCTGGGAACAAGAGGAAGTTGAAATTTAACTCCCACATGCCAAGATAAAAATCTTAATTCGTTATGTTTGATTTACGGCAAGAAGAAAGTGTTGCTCTGCATGCACTGGTCCTTATTTCACAGCCTCTGAAAGTGCTGTCTCATGTATTTCTGAAATCAAAAGCTTTAACTTTATGAAATTCACTTGGGAAGGGAGAATAAGGAAGATGAAGAAAAGTAAGGAAAGAGGAGAACTGCTCTCTTCCAAGGTCAGCAGTCTTTCAAACTGCGATTCCTTCCTATCCCGGTTAACAACTTTGAAGCAAATGGTAACTGCCTCCAGAAGTTGTTCGATGATTGATACAGTTCGTTAATTTTATTAAAAGCTATTTTAAGGCTTCTCTAAAACAATGACAAAGCTTCTTTTATTATTATAATTGTTTGGGGAAATAATATCGAGGAAAAACTGTTCAAAACCTAATTTTTTTCTTTTTCTTTTTTCCCCTATAGGTTTTTTAAATATAGCTAAGAAAAAGCACAATGGAGTTTTACGAGTCTACCTACTTTATCATCCTCATTCCTTCTGTGGTTATTACAGTCATCTTCCTCTTCTTCTGGCTTTTCATGAAAGAAACTTTGTATGATGAAGTCCTTGCAAAACAGAAAAGGGACCTAAAGTTTCCACCTACCAAGACTGATAAAAAGAAAATGGAGAAGAAGAAGAACAAGAAGAAAGAAGCTCAGAATGGGAACATCCACGAGTCTGACTCTGAAAGTACACCTCGGGACTTTAAGCTCTCTGATGCCCTGAGTACGGATGAAGAGCACGTCGCTCCCGTTCCCTTGAGCGTGGCTGAAGCATCTACTGGCGTTAGAGAACGGAAGAAGAAGGAGAAGAAGCATAAGGCTGTTCAAGATGATCATGTAGCTAAGGAGTCGGAAGGATCCAAGTCTTCAGGCAAGAAAGTAGAACCAGTCCCTGTTACAAAACAGCCCACTCCACCATCTGAATCAGCAGCATCTAAGAAGAAGCCTGGGCAGAAGAAGCAGAAAAATGGAATGGGTATCTGATGTTGCATATGCTTCTTGCACAGAACGCCAAAACCATGTTCTGCTTTTTGCAAGGCCACAGAGTGTCTCTCTCACAACTGTTCTGCCTGGTCTCTACGGGGCAAAGCTCACTTCTAACCTTTTCCTTTTAACGAGCTATTGCATTTTTCTCCCTGTTTTCATCTGGCAGCAATGCTCTGGTTTTCCTCCTCCTGTCCTTGCTTTCTTCTACTAAAGATTGAGTGAAAGAGCGGTTCGGTATCCCTGCTTTGCTCTATGGTTTGGCTACTTTGCTCACAAGCTGTCAAAATTTTGATTACCTGAAAGAAGTCATTAGATGTTTGCCGTGTGCATTCTGATGTCAAGCTATGAAAAAGTGGAGTGCTCAGAGTGGTTGCTCTGATAAGGAGGGGTATCTAGGGAAACTTCATAGCAGAGTGGGCAAAACAAATCGCTGTTGAAGTGCAGGCTTAATGTACAAAGAGGTGTTTGGTGGCTGATTCATGGAAAGAAGCACTTACGGCTGCTTCCCACCTGCTACACCTCTAATTGAATGGAACTGATGCTAAAAGAAAACTGGTCCAGCCATTGTAACTGAAACATCCAGCCTAGAACAGACAGAAAACTGTAGTCAGAATCGCCTGGGGCTGTCTTGACCATAACCTCAGCAGAAGCTGACATGTCTCAATGTGGCTATCTGACTATGAATAGAAGTTAAAGAACAAAAATACCCTGTTTCAGAAATAAGTGAAAACCGAAGTATTTGCAGGTCACCCTTTTGGGATGCAGGCATAACAGGTTTGCTACAGGGAGTGAGGCAAAAGAACGACATTGCTGCTTGATGTGGTGGATTTTTTCTTTTTCTGAAAAAAGGGAGAAAAAAAGACCCACCCACTACCAACAACAACAAAAAAAATCAAATCTTGTTTGTGGGTGTTCTCCGAAAATCTCTGTGGCGTGGTTAAAATGTGGTCTGCAAGCACTATGCTGAGGGCAGCCACAACTAACTCTTATCCTTGATTGCAGGAGCTAACACCATAACCCCGTATTGTGTGTGTCAGCTCTGACAAGAATATTATATAGAACAGACTGTCCGAAAAGATAAAAAATCTCTCACTAGAAACAACTTTTTAAAAGAACAGTTCTCTAATGTGAAACACTTATTTTCTGCTTCTCACAGTCCCAGTAGCTATTGGGGGTGTGTGTGTAAAATACCCAAGTGGGTTCATGGGGGGGGGGGGGGCGGGAATAAAATACTTCTGCAAATAAGAAACTAATACGGGTAACACATGCTGTCTCCTCTGTCGCAGTAAAACCTGGATTGGATTTGTTAAACTGTTACTTGCATTGCCGTATGTTCTGCTTGCAGATAAGGTTCCTGTCTGTCAAAACACTAGGTGCTGTGGCTCTTGACTCTGTTAAACCTTTCTATTGCTTTGGGGTCTCGTCTGGTGCGGGAAATGTATGTGTTTGTGAGCGTGTGTGTGTACATATATATGGATAACTTCGTGTTCTGATTTAAAATACACAAGTGTCTTTTCTTCTGGGAGAGGTCTTTGGTGGTTATTACAGATTTACTGATTGAAAAGTCATAAAGAGAATATACAGAAAAGCATATTGTCTTAATTGTCTGTTACAGATGATCAAGATAGTAAGGCTGATTCTGTTGTATCTCCTGCCAAAAAGCAAGATCCAGTGCTGCTCCACCAGGAGATAAAGCAAGAAAATGTATCAGGAAAGAAGAAAGTCTCTGCAAAGAAGCAGAAAGTTGATAATGGTGAGAATGTAGACGGTGACTTCGTTCAGATAAACTTGACTGTTAAACCTTTTTGCCATCCATCCTTTAGTTTCTCTTCCTTTGGAAAAGAAACTCGTAGAAGAGTAACTTTTAATTTGAAACAGCGGGAATTCCAGGTAGGAAAGATTGTTCAGCCTTTGATTCCATTTAATTTTATGAACATCTGGTACCACTGAACATGGGATGACGCTGTGAACCTTTCTGAGCTCTTTTGAATCCAAACATCCACGCTTGAATTGAGGAGTAATGTGTTGACTTAGAGTATAAGCTGAGCAGGCTCTAAGTTGCTCTGAGCAAGGCATGTCTGGAACTGCTGCAGTCATCTGCCCCAAACAAGACTGCAGTTTTTTAGCCGGTTGCTTTGACCACGTTCCTCTCTTATTGTCAGCTAGCTGTTGCTCCAACGTAAACTGTTCGTCTTTGCTGTCAAGGCCTTTACTGTTCCTCATCCCTCGTTCTCTGCCAAGATGCTGTTTCTTCTCTCCTCTTGGCTCAGTGTGCCTCTGTGTTTGTGTTTTTTACAATGAGTGCTGTTGTGCCTGTGGCTTTTGGGATTTTTTTGAAGAGCGTGACCATGAAGTTCTGCGAGGCCACCTTGTTAGCTTCTCAAAACTCTTCTTTACTGGGACAGCTATGAAGAAGTCGGTGGACTGCTCCTGGAGTAGACAATGTTGGTCACAGTTTCCTTTATACTTTGGTCCCGTCGTCAGGGTCAGACCAGAGTGGGGTTCTAAGTAGTGTAGGGTTCCTGTATGTTGTAACAACTGCAAAACTTTGAAATTATTCCTGGAAAAAACCTACTGATGGGGAACCTAGGATGTGATTGCCTTTTACGGATGCTCTCATGCTTTTCTTGATACATCCATTGCTCTTTTCTGAGGGGCCATTTTATGGACCACAAACTTGTCTGTATGTGGGAAACAAGTGTCAGTACCAGCTCAGCCAGCATTAAAGCTAAGCTGTCAGTGCTACACAGGAATAGCTCGTGCGTTATTTGAATGCAAGCTGTTTTCTTTTAAAGCTGCCTCTCCAAAATGACAGAGCAAAAATTAGCTGCGGTGGGCATCCGGATTAGCCAAGACAGTACTATGGGGATTTCAGATGTTACTGACACTGCAAAATGTCTTGTTGGTATTAAATAGATTTTGAAAGGAGGGGACTAAAATGAGGAGGGGAAGTTAATAAGGAGAAGAAGGGAAAAGGTGAGGATGGTAGCTCGATTAGGTGGTGGGTATTTCTGCTAGGGGAGAGCTTTCCTCACTTCTGAGCTTGCAGTGTACCTGCAGGTGTTTGCTGGCTGCTTAAGGGGAAAGACTCTAGCAGGTGACATAAAAGGTCTGTCTGTCCTGTTCTGCTCCTTAACAGCAGCCGGAATACAAAAGTGTTTTATAACTGGCTCTCTGGCAGCCAGGAATGTGTATTTGTCTTGCACTGATGCCTGAAACCTTGCATCCCACCCAATTCCTCCTCTCTCTGGTCTGCCGCATGGCATCTGTTTTCCGTCAGCCCTTCAGACTGGGCTGGCTGGGTCAGCGAGCTTTCCTGCCGTGGAGGCTCTGTGCACAACATCTCGCATACTTCAGGCAGTGTGGACCAGCAGCTCAGGAGCTGGGCAAACAGCAAATCCAGCTCTGTAGCTGGCTGTCTCTGTTGTCCCTGGTCTGTCGCCCTTCCTCTCCCCTCCTCGGCTTTTGTCTCGGCAGTGCAGGCTGAAAAGTTCTTTGGGCAGAGGCTGATCCTCATCACGTTTATACGCTGCTGTGTGAATGGAGACCCGAGGTCGGTCAGTACCTCTGGGTACCTCTCTGAATATTAATGATGCGTAAAGCCTGCTCTGACGGATGAGATCTTCATTAAGTGCGGTTGAGTCTGCATGTGAAATAAGCTTGGTTCCTGTCCCTACTACATGTTCTGCCTAAATGGTTTAGTGCGTAGGTGATGTAATCTGGGTGAAAATGCTGGCAGTAAGGTACCAGCTTTTAACAGAACAGGGACAAAAGACTTTACTATACTCATGCTTCAGGGAGGCTGAATGATTTCATACGCAGCCACAAGTAAACCAGTCTCATTGATGCTATATGCAACTTTCTCATTAAAGTGAAATGAAAGTCAAAATGTAAAGGTTCTTCTCTGCTACTTGTTAAAATGCTAAAAGGCAGCTTTGGAAATAGAAATTTAATTTAAGCTATTAAATTATCGTGCATTAGAGACCTTTATTTAATGAACTTACCTGAAGAGCTTTAATGAGTTAAGCTGTGAAGGATAATAGAAATAGCGAGTATAACTAACTATTGAGGTTAGAGATGCTTTAATCCAACTGTCTAATATGTTATGCACCTTTTCTAAAAGTGTTGATGTTAATTATTATAAAGCTTTAACCCATCCTGTGGACTTCTGATTACAGTTTTGGTAGATGAACCTCTTATTCAAGCAACTACTTATATTCCTTTGATGGATAATTCTGACGCTGGCACTTTGGAAAAGCGAGAAGCGGTTGAAGTAGCAAAACAAAACGTGAATGAGGGGATCCAGAAGAGCAGTGGCAAGAAACAGAAGAATGAAACAGATAAAGGTAAGAAACCAATAGTGCAGTCTGTCTCTGGCATAGCCTGCTTGCAAACCTGAACAGGGAAAACACACTGTGTATGTGGAGAGGGAGATCCTCCCTTATTTGCTGGGAAGAAGTGATTTGAGGAAAACATTTGTGGCTGCACGACGCTGTTTGTTCTTGTCTGTGCTTGTTTCTCCCCTGTCTTTGGCACCGTGGAAGGGGCTTTGCGCCATCTGAATCCTTTTAGCGCTGACTGTAGGCTTTTGTGTCCTCACAGTGAGCACACCGGAGATGCATGTGAGCTAGTTTTACAGTAGATAGTTCAGGCAACGCTAACAGTGATGGGCTCTAAACCAAGAGCTTTCAGCACAGGCTGTTGGAGTCTACTTGAGACTGGGAGTGCAGGTTGTATGTTCTAGGGCTGTCCACGGAGCTAGCTGTGGCTGACCGGCCAGTGTGTATCTCCGAGTGCAGCACAGAGTTACCTGAAGCAAATTGCCAGTGGAGATAATCTGCCAGCTTCCAGGAAGACTTTTAATTTTCCTTTCAATGCTGTTGGAATTGGCTGGGACAGGGGAGCTTGCTTCATACCTTCTGAGGGAGGCCTGGAGTGATTCTTGAGCACCCTGAAACTTTAAATAGGCCGCTGACCTGCTCAAAGCATGCCAAACTTGCTGAGCCATGAGGCGAGACCCTCAAATTTGTGGGCAGCCAGAGAGCAGAAGCTAAGTGACTGAGCAGTGATTCCCTACTCGGGTTTGTGCAGAAGGCTGGCTCTCCAACGTTGTCTGCCTGGTCACTCACTGCGCTCTTTGGAACCTCTCTTTTTAGACTTGTCTTCTAAAATGCTCCCTCAAAAGCTTCCTGGCAATGCCTTGTGGTATCTAGATTGGATTCCCACTTGCCGGGGGCTCCTTTTGTGCTTTTAGCTTAATGGCTGCATATTACTGCCTTGCAGCACAAAGCCTCTCGGTGCACCCATCCCTTCTCATTCCCTTTGCAAGCTGTAACCTTCTATATGAGCTCCTAATTCTCCTGTGTCAGCTGGGATTTGCCCTCCCAATATAGAAATCTTCCCCTATTGTAATTGTAAGCTTCTTGGATGCAAGGGCAAGGTCTTGCTGTCTCCAGGGAGCACAGGGCTCAGGCTGGTCCATGCCAAGCTGCTATAGGCTCCCGGCTAACCAGACTGCGGGCTCAGGATTTTGGCGTATTCCTGGTAACAACATCATTGATGATGCCAGTGCAGCAATGATGTGATCTGAAGTCTGTGGCCAAGACTAAGTTGGATTTAGGACTAGGAGAGAGCGTGCTAGAATTTCTCAGTGCTTCCCCCCTGCCTCCCTGGACTCTGTTATTCAGTGATTTATTTTTATGCTCGGTAATTTCTACTGGGGGCTTAGTATCACCAGCACTTTTTCATTCTTCATTCATGTTTCAAATTCTGGAGAGGTTTGGGTTTAATGTGTGACTCGGTTTCAATGGCATGTTTAATACCTATGGTGGGAAACCTGGACCCTTCTCCATTATCTCTGGGACAACCAAGCATCACTTTTACGCTTTTCCTTTTTCCTTTTTCCCCTTCCAGTCCCTTGATGTACTTTTGTCCCCGGGTGAATATTTCAGAGATACTGGATGCCTTGGTCTTGTGCTTCCATTTACTTAAGTTAGGGGGCCACCTAATGACCTATCTATGTGCAGCCTGTTTTTTATGAACAAATGCTTTTTTTTTGCCTCCTGTAAGACCATTGATGAGTTGAATTGTGTTTCCTTATTTGTGTCTTTTTAAACATGAACTGATTTATCTTCCTACTGCTGAACTCCTTCTGCAGCAGTTCATTTCCAAACTTAGACTGATGGAATATTTTGCTGGTTTCTGTATATTGTAATCAGAAATTCTTAACCTTGTCATTTGCATATTGTTTGTGGAGCCAGCCTGTCCTTTAAATTGAGAGCTCAGTTTGAATTACTGTCATAATACACTAGAAAGGACTCTTTAAGTTTTCACATTAATGCTATTTTTCCCCCCCCGAAATCTGTGTTATGCTTTGTCTTCTTGCTAGCAACTCTATAAATGTTACCAACTGTACAAACAAAGCGGTGGATTTTTTTTCCCAAAACTGTCAGCTGGCAGATTGTTATCGGATTTAAATCAGAGATACGTTGTTTTTGCTGAATGTTCATGACCTTTTGCTTCTTGGCGTTTCGGACTGAAATTAAATATAATGTGTAATAATACCCCATCACATGCAGTTTTGAAGCAAAATAAATAATTCTGTATGGAGTCCAAAGTAAATATATCCTCCTTTCTGTATTGCAGAGAATGCTGAAGTAAAATTTAAAGACTTTGTAATGGCCATGAAGAGTATGATCTTCACTGAAGATGAGGCCCGTTGCATAGTGGAGGTGTTAAAGGAAAAATCCAGTGCAATTCATGACGTCTTGCAGAAGGTGAATGACTGGGGCGGGGGGAGAGAAGACTATTAAATAAGCAGAAGCTGGAAGAGATGCTGTCAAATTAGCTATGTCAATGTTCTGTTCTGATTTCTGCATTCTGTCTTTTGGAAGACTTTTTCCAGCTGGTCTGCACTTGCTTTGCATGCAGAAAGCAGTTGTCAGATGTCTGTGTGCTGCCATCTGCCATCCCTTGGGCTGGCTAGACAGGCTGATGGCTTTTGACCGCTCGTAAAGAGCAGACATAGCCGTGGAGAATAAGGTATGTAACGTAGGACTGCTGCTGCAGCTGACGCGTGTGTGTTGGCATGAGGGAAGGCTATCTGGTGACTTTCAGGAGTGATCTTTCACAGATGTGTAAATAGGATAAACTATAGTAGAAATTAAGGAAAAGCTGCTGTGGCTGTGCACTCAACCAGCTAATTCTGTGTTTTGCAAGTCTGTCCATCTTAAAGCCTATAGATTCTAGTCTGATGAGTTCTTTGGATGTATTTCTCTGGATTTTAGGACAATTCAGACTTGGAAGGGCGCTCAGAGGGTCTGTAGTCCAACCTCCTACTCAAACCAGGGCCAGCTCTCTGAGGTCAGCCCAGGCTGCGCAGGGCTTTATCCAGTCTGGCCTGAAACCTTCAGGGACTGAGACTGCCCAGCCCCTCTGGGCAACCTGTGCCAGTGCTTGGCAGTTCTTTTTAATTTTTGCATTAAGATGGAAGAGAGTGGTGACCACCAATATCTTACAAATGTCTACTCCTCCTGCCCGTGACTCATTATGATTGTCATTTTGTCCTTGTATCATCCTGTTCGTCATGCTTGAAGTCTTGCAATTCTGTATTCTTCTGCAGATATGGTACCAGAACAGAAATGGAGAACTGGATATGTGTCAGCTCAATTAACGCAATATGCTGGTATATCACGTAATCCAGTCTGGAAGGGGCTTCAGGAGGTCATGCAGTCCAACTGCCTGCTCAAAACAGGGTCAGCATTGAATTCGGAGCAAGTTGCTTAGGGGTTTGTCCAGCTGAGTCTCGAAAACCTCCAAGGACAGAGACTTCACATTCTCTCTGGCCCCTGTTTCAATGCTTGACTGAAAACCCTGTAGTGGTACACTTGCAATGGTATTCCCTGTTTTATTCAGAACATCAGCCAGCTTGCTTGCTGCATTTGTTGTGTGTGGGTTTTTTTTAAGGAATGTTTTATGTTAAAGGTAAACCTCAAGGATCAAAATGGGTTCCTGGGTTTGTATATGACCAAAAAATGTAGGTTTCTGTAGATGGAGATGGGAATATTTTCCTATCATGCAAGACACTGTCACATGTGTTTTGGGTATGTATGTGGTACAATACCATTAAAGGAGAGCTTCCAGATGAATTCAGAGTGGGTTTAGGGGACTGATGCTCCTCTTCACTGCTTCAGTTATCAGACTTCACTCAATGAAGTCTGAGTGCAAATTTTTGAAGGTTTACCCCTTACCGCAGTTATTTCATTTTAGGACCAGCATACAAGTGGCAGGACTGTCGGGATCGTTCCTCTAGTTCTGTTCCTTGCAGTATCTCTGAAACTTCATGTGTCAGTGCGCCAGCAGAAATGTAATTACGTCAACTGGAGGCTCTCCTGTGAAGTGGAAGGAGGGACCAGATCAGTGTTCCCTTTTTCGCTTTGTAGCGAGATATTTCGAGAGATTAAGTTTGTAGTTATAATCCAAGTTGGGTTATACCTGTTTTGAGCATGGGTTGGACCAGGTGATCTTGGAAGTACCTTCCAACCTCAATTATGGAATGATTCAGCACCCCTGCATCTTTTTCCTTTATTTCTCTTAATGGCTCTTCTTTGTTTTCCCCAGTGCCACCACAGCAGCTCTCTTCCAACACGGAAGCACCTTAAAAGCCCATTTATTCTCTTAATTGGTTTCAGTGCATTTGAAAATGCATTTCCTTCTCTAATGAAATTGGCTCTGCAGGATCCATTAGCAGCAGAATTGGGTACTGGTGGTGCCACGTACGCCATGCGGACGGATGATTTGGGGGCAGGAGGGGGTGTTTCTTCCTCTCAAGTTTGCTCTGCTGCCTGCTAGTGTGCTCTGCAAGTACTTCTGGCATGTATGATCATTTTTATGTACTTTTGCTGCAGGCTAGCAAGGCTGAGTCGGCTGCAGCTGTACATCAGCTACAAGACAAAGAGAAAATGCTGGCTGCGATGAAGGAGGAGGCAGCTGTTGCAAAGGAGCAGTGCAAGCAGCTAACCCAGGTAAATATAAAGAGGTTCAGGCATGTAGAGAGCTGTGGGAGAGGAGCAGGGGCTTGTAGGACCAGCAGCCAGCAAATGCTGATTTACTGATGTTAGTATAAGTTGATAGATGGATTTTTTTATATTGGGAAAGCAAGACACTATGTTTGGTTTTATGATGCTATTAATGTATTTATGTGGAGTTATTCTGCAGTAGTTTTTCCAGAGAGTTCATTTACTGAGACTATTAAGTTGGGACTATTTTTCTTTTCAAAAGGTTACTTTAAAAACACTTCCTTATGAGTATAATCTGGTTTTGTGGATATTAAACACCTTTTCTGCATTGCAGTTTTAATTTGATGCATATTCTAGTATTCACATGCTTGTGTGCTTCTAGGCACAACAATCATCGGTTTTCTGTAAGAAGGCAGCTACAGAAAGCGTAGACTGCTGGCTTAGCCCCTTGAGTTGCAGCTCTGATTGCTTTAGTTGCTGATGCACCACTGTCAAGACCAGTTTATGAAACTTGGCCTCTTTTTTTTCTTTTATGAAGGTTTCAGAGGAAAGCAGTTATAGTAGAACAAACAATTAGGCAGATATGGAGTGAATTGGAGACTCTTCTAGGGGGAGGATTCTTACGTTTTGGCTAGTTTGGAAGCACACAGGCATTAGGTTGAGGAGGGTCGTGTTGTGGGACAGAAGTTGGGCACAGAAGGCTGGGTGGCTGAAGACGGGAGCAGAATGGCCAGAGGACACAGCAGTTGGGTGCCTTGGCAAATGAGAAGGGAAGAAGGGAGTGGGTTTTGTGTGAGCTCCTGGCAGGGCACAGGTAGGTGTATATTCTTTACTGTGAGGGTGGTAAGGCACTGGAACAGGTTGCCCAGAGAAGCTGTGGATGCCCCATCCCTGAAAGTGTTCAAGGCCAGGTTGGATGGGGCTTTGAGCAACCTGGTCTGGTGGGTGGCATCCCTGCCCATGGCAGGGGAGTTGGAACCAGATGATCTTTAAGGTCCCTTCCAACCCATCCCATTCTGTGATATTTGCAGGTGGGATCGAGAGGTTTGGGATGGTCAATATGTAACTAGGGAGAAAGGACTTGTGATGTGTTTGAAGGGAAAAAAAAACTCTGGCTCAGGATTGCAGGGTGAAAGGGGGGAAGTATCTGCTGGTGAAGAAGCAGAGGGAATGTATGAAGGAGCCTGGGTGTGAGGGAAGCTGATGTGGTTGGGGAAGAAACATCTGCAAAGTGGTGGTGGCGAAGGCAGGGCAGGATCTGTGGAGAAGAAGGGGTCATCGGGGGGGGGGGTGCCGTTTGT